CTTATAGAGACAGTCTGTGCAAAATGTCAGACATACTGTTCTGCACACTACAGGCACACATTAACAGGAATGGTTTATAATTCAGAAGAGTTCCCCGTACCCAGCAAAAGCACAGGTGCTCTCTGGCTCCTCCTAGAATTCTAACACTTAGAGACAAAATGCTCCCCCTGAACATCACCCCAGAATCACCATCTTCTTTTCCATCATATCCCTTGAACAAAGAAAATATGAAAGTGGGTCTCTCCTCAGGAGTCTGCCCTGGTGACCAGAATGCTGCTGAGCAATTCAGAGCTGGGAGCACTTAGGGAGAGGAGAAACAACTCTGGTAATGACTTTAAAAGCAGCCCAGGAGCCCACACCCAAGGATTCCTTTCACGTCTGCCCTCACTTAACACTCCACCTAGAACATGGGCTAATGGTACTATTAGGATGCCAAGCTACTAAGTAAATTAAAATCAGGTGTTGGGTTGCTGAGTCTTATACTAGATGGCTGAGTTTTATCATTGCTGAAAGAACTACCAAGGAAAGATTCAAAAGAAGCCAAGTAAAACAGAGAGGCAGGCCAGTGGCAGGCTGCCTAGAGAACCCTGGGGCCTTAGGGTTTCCAGGCATGAGGGCTAGAGAGACGGCTCAGTGAATAAAAGCATTTGTTGCACATGCACAAGGACCTGAGTCCAGATCCCAGCACCCACGTAAAAAGCCAGGTATGGCCACATGGGGACCTCTAACCCCAACACTGTGAGGTAGAGACGGGAGGATTATTGGGGGCTGTCGGTCTACCAACCTACCTCCAGGTTCAGTAAGAGAGCCTGGTCCAAAGGAATAAGACAAGAGGGACAGAACAGGTCACCCTACATCCTCCTCTGGCCTCTGCGAGTGTGCATCTACACACACACACACACACACACAGAGAGAGAGAGAGAGAGAGAGAGAGAGAGAGAGAGACATACATACATCACAGTCATATACATACATACAGATACAGAGACAGAGAGAGGGAGGGAAGGAGGGAGGGAGGAGGGGAGAGAGGGAGAGAGGGAGAGGGAGAGAGAGAGAGAGAGAGAGAGAGAGAGAGAGAGAGAATTTCCTCCAGGCATGGAATATTAAATGGGCTTGTTGGTCAGAGGCTAGAGCTTTCAAGTTGGAATTTGGAGAACCAGTCATTCTCAAACACCAGCACCCATAAGAATCCCATGAGAAGCACCCAAAAAAAAAATGTAGGATCTGGGCCTGACCCCTGTGATTCCGAAGAAGGAGATCTGGTGTGAGGCCCTGGAATCAGCATTTTGATGAACATCTGGGTTATTTCTGTACAGGTGGGCAGATCCCACAAACACCAACAGATTTCCCCCACAAAGTAAATTTCTGTTGCTTTGTTTTTGGGTAATGAGCACTCTTCCTGAGGCAAAAGTCAGAAAGCAAAGAAACAAAACTTTAATCCTTAAACTTGGTAAACTTTCAAGATAATTAATAGAGATTGGTTACTTACTGGAAAATGAAGTATTCATGTGTACACCATAGACTGAGTGAAAATAAATTACATTTAGATGATTTAACATTTCTGAGATGGAATAAATTCAATGGCTGAGTGAAAGACAAGATGCAAACCATCTATCACATAAAGTTATCCACTGAGATAATATGTCAGCCATCCATTGTGAAAAGGAAGCCTGGACTAACACAACAGATTGACTAGATTCAGGAACACACCAGGAAGGGTTAAACACAACCACTCCATCTTGAAAAATGGCTATTACCACTCTACATAAACCCAGGGAGAAGCGTTTGGGGTCCAAGTTATATTTTCATAAATAACTCCAGAGATGGAGTGGGAATTATGAAAATCAAACCACAAATGATACAAAAATGGCAAGGATTGCAAATCTGTAGAGAATGAAATTTAACTACTGGGCAATGTCTTTAAATTTGCCTTGATTGAATCTTGTATATTGAAGTCACACATTATTGTATCTGTTTATTGAGACCCAATAGGGCCAAATGCAGAGTGATTTATGGAAAGAGAGATAATCAAATGCACAAGTAGAAAAGATCCTACACCTGGAGAGACCCTGGCACGACGGGAACTGCCTGGGAAGTGGGTTAGATGTGCACAGGGCAGTGGGGTATCTCTGCGGATGGGAGTTGTGCCAAGAGTTGGGGTCTACAACAAACAAGGAAATGTCTGCCGTTCTTTGCGCTACTCAGCCTTGATGCTACTTTCAGGGGAAGTACAGGGGAAGTGCTGTGCTTAAATGTAGACCCAGGAGGAAATTCAGAGCAGGATGGCACACCGATTATGGGGTAAGACCAAGACTATAAGGGATGCTAGACAAAAATTCTGAGTGTGCCTATTTGTTGGGAAAGGAGACACAAAAGACATGGGACCCGGAGGAGAGCATTTCTCGCTCCTATTAAGGAGGAACAATTGCTGGAAACACAGCTGGAATCAAGGGAAAAGGGCAGCTTATGGTAACGCCATCCCTGGGGATGCCGAGGAAGGGCGACAGGACACCTCTGTACTTAGGATGCATTAGAGATTATTAAAAGCATTCCTTGCCCAATTCGGGGGTGGGAGGTGGGTTTCATGACCTCTCCAAAGGTCATTTTATCCCAAGGGATGACATGTCTGAAGGGCACCAGATAAAAATAAAGTCTGTTAATCACTGGGCTGCCACACAATGTCCTGGGAGAGCCAGATTGGAAAAGGGCAAGCTGCAGTGGACCTTGCTCTGCCAAAGGAGGAAGAGGGAAGCAGTGTATGTATGGGAAGAGCCAAGGAGGCGAGAGCCGAGACTTCCAGAAAGCCAACATCAGCCTGCAATGGGATGCCTAAGCTTTACAGGGGATACAAGAGGAGGAAGAGATCTTATAGGGAAGGGAGCCAGAAGCAGCAAAGGACGTCAAGAGCTGGTAAACAAAGCTGGGAGCTTTGGGGGAAAGGGTCTGATACAAGTATGGAACAGGAGCCAGGAGGAAGCAGTTGGTACAAAGGCTCCGTGCAGAAGAGGGAAGCCAAGCAAGAGGACTCTCACAAAGGACACTTCATAGCGATTATCCACCAGACACAGAGGTCAGAGACAGAGGTGGTAAGAGAGGAATGGGCAAGTAAGTGAAGCAAGACAAAAGGGCACCCAGCGTATGTCTAGAAATAGATGAGGCTGACTGGAAATTCCATCAAAGTCCTAGAAATAGTGCCAGTGAGATAGCTCAGTAGCTCAGGGCACTTGCTGCCAAGCCCGATGACCTGAGTTTAATCCCTGGAACCCACATGGTGGACAGAGAGAATCAATTCCTAAAAGTTGTCTTCTGACTTCCACACAAGCACTGGCACACATGTACACACAAAAAGAGGAAGGAAGGAAGGAGGGAGGGAGGGAGGGAGGGAGGGAGGGAAGATGGAAGGAAGGAAGGAAGGAAGGAAGGGAGGAAAAGATTGGGAACTGAAATGCCAAAGCACTATACATGAGGCCCTTAAGGAAGGAAGGAAGGAAGGAAGGAAGGAAGGAAGGAAGGAAGGAAGGAAGGAAGGAAGGAAAAAGAAAGAGAGAAAGAGGGAGGGAGGGAAGGAAGGAGGGAGGGAGGGAAAAAGAAAGAGCTTTTTTTTCTTTTTTGGAGAGAGGGACTCCCCATAGCCCCAGCTGGCCCGGAACTTACTATTAGATCAGGCTAGCCTCCATCTCACAGAGATCCACCTGCCTCCGCTCCGAGTGCTGTAATTAAAAGCATGCACCACCATACCTGGCTAATAACATTTTTTTAAACTCACGCAAATAGAGTAAAAAGTTAACCCCACTATCTACAGCAGCAGAAACTTATTTAACAGGAACACAGCTTTTTAAGAAAAATAAATTAGCTGCGCCGCACCTCCAAAGTACTTGCTAGCACTCTTGATGGAGCATACACAGCTAGAATGCCTGTTCCATAGGGATCTATGAACCCAGCCCAGCCCACCACCCAGAACCAGTGTCCCAAGAGCTGCTTACATATCAGAACACAACTGAATTGCATCCAGTTGGAAGGAGGTAAGCAGGTACCTCCTGCCAAAAGACATCAGACCCACACCTACTCCCTCATCCTGAAGCAGAGCTGTTTGGAGAAGGTGACACAGCAGCCAAGTGAGGATCAAGAGGCCAGTAAGGAGGAGGAAAAAGGTACCACCCTAGCACATTCCTTGTGGGATATACTCCTTGACTCTCTTTGCCATCCAATAGATACAGGACCTGACAAGATGAATGGGCACCTAGAGGGACCACCAGGCCAGGTCCTGCCTAAGCTATCTTGCTCCTGCCCCCATGGAAGAGCTCTGTGTTCTGACAGACAGCAAGAGATGAACATTAGGTGTGTGGTTTTGAAGGTTAGCCTTGCCATGGAGTAAGTGAATGGGGCTCGGTCAAATGAAAAGATAAGCAGACGAGGATGTAGAACCCACTACTCAGTGCCCTGGCATGTGAAAAACAAAAGTTGCTGTGCCCCAGCTGACCTGCCTCGCTCCTCTCCCTTAGCCCCACCCTTGTTCCATCCACAGATGCTAACCAGGAGCCAGGCAGCCTATTCTCCAAAAGACATTTCTAGATCAAGCAAGGAAAGGTGGAGATGGATGGAGGACCATTTGTTAAAGTAAGTCATCACCATAGAAAGATTCATAGCTAGTCCTACATAAGACAGGAGAGAGGGAGAGAGAAAGGAAAAGAGGGAAAACAAATAGAAAGACACCAGAGCCAAGTACCTTTGTCTGACAGTTTTGAGTTATGCTTTTGTTTGTAACTCTAAAATGGAAAAAAAAAAAAAGGATGAATCTTGAGAGAACAGGAAGAAACACTGGCATCCAGAGGGTTATAGCCTCAGAGATGGAAGCCACTGCCAGCCCCGCCCCTTGTACCACAGCAGTAGCAGCAATAGGAGATTTGACTATACAGAGGTGCAGGCAGGTGAGGTCCAGAGTCGGTGGGCTGCCACCAAGGCACCACAGGATGAGCTGGGGCAGACCACAGGATACTTACTGTCACAGACGTAGGGTTTGTCATGGTCTTCCTGAGAGGCAGCATCATGCCTCCTCCTCCCACCTGCCGAGCCACGAGCCTGTGGAGACATTGAGCATGGGACATTTGTTACTGTGACCATCACTCAGCTCTGGGGCATGTACTCTGTGGGGGCTGTATGAATCACCTGCAAAGTCATATGCCACCTGCATCACAGCTTGATCAGTGCCAGCCCTGTTGTACAGGTAAGGAAACTGAGGCCCAGAGAGATTAAGTAACTTGCCCTAAATCACTTATCTACTCAAGTAACCAACTCATCTCGTTGAGTTTTCACAATAAACTCTAAGAAGGAGGTACAATAGTGATCCGAATTTATAGACCAGAGGATTGAGACAACGGGGGTAAAAATCAGGACATAAACAGGACTGGAAGGCCCATGTTATAGCTTGAATATGAAATGTCCCCTATAGGCTCAAGTGTTGAAGGTTTGGTCCCCAGCTAGTGGCATTATTTGGGGGTGAGGGGTGATAGAAACTTTAGGAGGTAGAACCAAAGGGGAATAAGCAGGTCACCAGGGCACATCTGTAAAGATTATACCTGTCCTGGGGGCCCTTCTTCCTTCCCCTTATTGTTTCCTGTCTGCAGTTTGGTGAGCAACTGACACCACCATGTACTATGTCACCATGACGCTCCACCTCCTCACAGACCACAGCAATGGATAAAGTCAACCACGACTGAACCAGCTGAAGCCATGAGCAAAAATAAATCCGAGGTCCTTTAAATGGTTTTCTTAGGTACTTTGTCACAGCAACAAGTCTGACTAACGCAGCCCTGTATCCATCAAATTCCCACCTGCAACTGGGCCTTCCGTACCACACTAGCCCCTTTCCTTCTACTTCATTGACAGCGCAGAAGATACTGGTCAGGTGGTGGGTATACTGGGGACAAGTCCTTGCGGGGGGGTAACGTATAACTGCAGTGGACCCAGGTTCCTGTGTCCACAGTGCCCACCCCAAGGGCCTCAGGAGCCCAGTCTCCTCCTCTATGCCTGGCCTTCACAGCAGGGGTGGGCCAAACCAGGGCCTCAGTGTGTAGTCTGCCTCCGGCCTCCATCTAGGGACTAAGACCTTAATCCTCAAGGTCACATGGAGCTGAACTCCCAATGTCCATCTCCCTGGGTAGGTCACAAGACCTGAGGGGACAGGCAGAATGAACTCAATTTCGATAATAACAGAGACTAGCTCAAAAAGCTGCTAACAGACCTGTAGCCCAGGACAGAGGTGAAAAGATCGTATCAAGGTTTACTTAAAAAACTGTAAGTCCCACACTGCTCTGTGTGTAGCATATTTAGCCTCGTTCTTTGGTAAATAGTCCTTGGTCATTCTTTAACAATGAGTTGTGGTAAACTCCTAGACAAGGAAAGAGCTGGCTAAGGTCTTCAGATTCAGAGAGGAAGCAGCAGCAAATGAAGATCAAGACACGACAGCTCTCTGGGTGCAGAGAATATGGGACAGTCCCAGGACCTGGCCTAGAGAAATGGACCTGAGGATTCACGGGAGCAAGGCCTGGAATGAATGTGCATGTACACACACACACACACACACACACACACACACACACACACACACACACACACACACACACACACCCAAACCCCTTACTGGGTTCATTCTCCAGGTCTGCAGCACTCACACAACACACTCTCAAAACACATAGACACACACTTCCAAATCAACTCCACCTGCCAAGACTCTGCCTCTGCCATCTCTTCGGCTTGTCTTTTTCTAAAACAAATGATGAAATTCCACATCCCTCTTTGTCTCTTATCTCCTGCCGCCACCCCTGCCAGAGACAACCAGCAGCCACTGCCTCCTCTTTCTCCTCCTCCTCCTCCCCCCTTCCTCCTCCTCCTCACATCCTTATTATTCAGCGTTGACCCTAAGGAGCTGTGATCACTGGCCATCCCTGAGGCAATGACAGGCGCTGCACCCAGGGTGCTGAGGGTTAGTCGCCCTTGCCGCCCTGGCCCTGCCCATGCCTTCTCAGTAAAGCCAGGGATAGCTAGCTTGACATGCACAGCCCGTAGCCCTGTCACAGCCGCCTTGGGGCAGGTAAAAGTAAGTCAAGCAGAATGACAAGACCACAGCAGACTCTTCAAGACTAGCAACACGTCAAGGCAGGAGAGGAGAGATCAGGCAGAACCAAAGCACCAGAGCTTCTGAGGGAGCCAGTGGAGGGAAGGAGAGACCCTCCCGAGATACTTCAGGCTCCCACACACCTTAGTTTTGCCAAACAGAAATCATGGTTACAGGGCATCTGTGGGAATGTGTGAGGGATTTTTCTAAGGCAGTGGCATTCCTGGTCTCCTGGAAGACTCAGGCTTGGCAATTCAGAATCCTATCTGTCCTGCTCAAATGCCACTTCCTCCAAGAAGCTGTCTCTGACCCATAGACGTACCGTTCCTTTTGTTCACTTTCTTCTATCCTGCTTTATGTTTAGTCATGGAACTTAGCACTGTCTGACTACATTGTACGTATGTTGGTTTATTTGTTAATTTTCTATCTGTCCCACATGAGGTAGAGATCTGTCTGTTTAGACCACCGCTATTCTTGGAACCAAGCACAGTTCTTAAACATTTGCCAGATCATTGCATCAATCCATCACTCAGGTGGTGAACTGGTCACTGTTGTTCTTTCTCTGTATCCAACTGCTATTGTTTGCCAGGCATGGTGGCACACACCTTTAATCTCAGTGCTCGGGAGGAAGAGGAAGGTAGATCTCTGTGAGTTCGATGCCAGCCTGATCTATGTAGAGAGCTCTAGGCCAGCCATAGTCTTTTTTTTTTTTTTTTTTAAAAAAAAAAAAAAAAAAAAAAAAAAAAAAAAAAAACTATTGTTTCTTCCCTTAAAGGCCAACACAGGCTTTGTATTTCCTTTCTATTCCATAGCTTAATCCAGGAATTTAGCTGATCCTGAACTTCTCAGAGAACCCCTCCCCCCAGCTAGGGTTCTACCTCCCCACTGCCCAGCCCAATCCAGTCTACATGGGATTACAGATGTGCACCCAATGCCTGGCCCCATAGCCGACAGGGATGAGGGGTGGAATTTAAGGCCATTCATTCACTCCTAGTCTTCCACTGCCATCTATGACCCACTTATACCTTTGATGGGAGCTTACTGCTAAACCAGCAGACTCACTCCAGGCTCATCTGTGTCCACATCTTGGTTTTCATTGGTTCCTGCCATATCAGCCAATCCTGTGCTATCCATAGTCCATCTACAGTACAGCCCTGCCAGCATCCCACTCCAAAAATCTTCCTCTTGCCACATTGCAGCGTAAAGACCACATTGTTTTAAAGTCTGATGGATCGAAGTTTAAACTCTGGTTGTATTTGTCAGCTAGTCATTACTGTAACAAAATGCCTTAGCCCTACACCCAGGTGTACATGGACAGCACAAACTGCATTCCATGGATTATCTTTTTACAAAAGAGGACACAAAGTTGCAGGGGGTGAATCTGGGAGGAGTTATAGGAAGGAGTGGTGAATATGATCAAAATATATTGTATAAAATTCTCAAAGAATTAATAAAAAAAATTTAAGTGCCTGTAGAAGATACTTTCAGATGGTATGGCAAGAGACAGGGAGCCTGCATATGTGTCTTCTAGTCCCCCTCCATCTTCTTCTTGACCCCAGGCCAAGAATTTCCATCTTGGCTATCCAATTCTAGGAATTCCTCTAAACACCACAGTCAGATTGGGCTTCTACCCTCTCAATGCCTCACAATGGGGTTAAATTTCACCACACGAAGCCTTGGGCAGCATTCAACCCATATTCAAACCATAAACAGCACCATCTGTGTGTCACAAAACAAACTATTTCTCTAAGCCCATTTATAAAATGGGCAACATTGGATGCACATCTGTAATCCCAGCACACAGGAGGCAGAGGCAGAAGATCATTGTAAGTTTAAGTCAACCTGGTCTACATAGAAAATTCCAGACCAACCAGGGCTACTTGGAAAGACTCTGTCTCAAAGACATAGACATAAGTAAGTAAATAAATAAATGAATGAAATGGGCACAGCAACTCCTCTGCAACACTTCTGAGATGGTTAGAATTAAAAGTGTAAAACTGGGGCTGGAGAGATGGTTCAGTGGTTAAGAGCACTGGACCTGGGTTCAATTCCTAGCACCCACATGGTGGCTGACAACTATCTGTAACTCCAGCTCCAGGGAATCCAACGCCCTCTTCTGACTTTGGCAGGCACTGTACCACATGGGTATACTTGCATGCACGCAATACACTCATACACATTAAAAAAAAAAAGAATTTTTTAATAAGTATAAAACCACAGGACACAGGGCTAAGCCCACAGGAAGTGTTCCATGAGTTATTTTCCCCTCTGTGCCCATGTCGATCCCTCTTCTCTAGACCCTCATTGCATTAGTTAGTGCACGAACAGAAGTCGATTGTTTTCTCATGGGTCATGAGTTTTAGCATCTTCCCAATTTGAATCTAAGGTGGTTGGGGGCAAAGTTGGCATTTTATAGTTTATTATGATCTACTAACACTCTGCTAGGCACATAGCATACAAAGCTATTCCACATACATTAGCACAGAAGATCCCAGTAATAACCCTGAGTTAGACTACTGTGTTTTTACTCCTGTTTATCAGTTGGTGCGGGTTCTGTATGGGTCCATTACTTGCCCACAGCCACAGAGCCAGAGGAAGCAGCAGTACATGTTCCCATGCTCTGTTATAAAACCCTCTAAAGCTGACTGTCCGAAAGAAACCCATCCTCCCTCTCTGAGGATGCTCACCTCCCACACACACGTTGGTGAGCCACAGCAGTCATGACTGCACTATAAGGCCCTGCCACTGGCCACGGGCAATTGGTAGGCACAGAGATGACCTAGTTATGGGTCCAATCAGATTCTAACTCCAAACTGGGGTCAATCAAATTCTACCTCCAAGGGACTTGGAACTTGGAAACAGTGACCCTTGTTGGCCACTTGAATTGTAGGGACCTATAAATTCCAGAACTCTGGGGCCCTGTGCACAGAGAAGCCGGAAACCCTCAGAAATAAGACCAAGGAGG